CGGCTTGTGAGCCGCTGATGACAGCTATTAATTTAAAGGGGACAGTCTGCTGAACAGTTCTACTATAAGCTGATGGTCGCTAAAGCGACCATCAGCTTATAGTAGAACTGTAAATGCCAGGTCCGTATGGCATACTGAGCTGGCCAGCTGGAAGCACTTTTGTAGGTCCGTATGCCATACGTCCTTGGCAGCGAAAGGGTTAATGCTTGTTTAGAATATGTAAATGGCTTAATGAGTGCATAGTCTGGGCACCAGGGTTATTTTAAGAGAAACCTGAGCAAATAAATATCACTTGAACTTTGGCTTTGCCTTCTAGTGTAGGAAAGGTAGTATGCATATTAGGTGCTACTCCACTTAGGACTTGACCCCTTAATGTATCACAAACCTTTCCCTGTATAATTATAATTAGAGCAGTTTTCATTTTGGATATTTGACCATGTAAACAGCAGTTCGTTTTTTGAGTTCAGTTATGTGAACTTTTCAACCTAAAACATATATGTTCTTGGCCCCACCTATAAATGTTTTGTAAAACTAATGCCACAATGAAACCAGTGGTTTTTTACATTTTTTGAGATTATTTTTTTTTATTTAATGTGACTACTTTTCTTGAATGAAGATGTCCGCTATGAACTGTACACAATGAAACTGTAGCCAGTATAATTTTATGTTTACTCAAATGGGCTTCCAGGATAGCTACCCTGAGACCATTGTACCACCACCTTTTGCCACTTAATAAGTTTGTCACCTTGCCCCAGTGGCCTGTTTTCTTTCCAGCATGTTAAGGGAGAACTATGGGGTCAGTGTTTTTCGCCATAGTTCTCCTTAGGGTAACGGGAGGACACAAACTAGCGTCCTCCCGTTACACTAAGCTCCGTATACCGCGAGCTACAGCTCGCGGTACACTGAGACGCCGCAGCGGATCCCGACTTAGATGACAGGATCCGCCCAGCTGCATGAGTGACACCTGGCTCTGCCTATCTAGAGGCAGAGCCAGCTGTACCCGCCCCCTCCCCCGTCCGTTCCGCCAGTCAGCGCTGGCAGATCAGAGCGGGGAGAGGGGAATCCAGCCCCTCCCCCTGTCACGGCAGAGAGCCGTGACAGGATCGAGAGGTGAGCGAACCTGGTATGTGTTCGCTCACCTCCCGATCTACTGAGCCGACCTGTGACAGTCTCATTGTCACAGGTCGGCTAGAACTATGAGGTGAGTGGAAATCACTCATCTCATAGTTCTCCTTTTAAGCTCACCTTGGCTGGCAGTAGGCATTAGCAGTTACGTCACATCTGGTGATACTTAATAACTTACCTGATTTATTGCTTCTTTTCCACTAAGCCATTCTGCAGAATGGTTACTTTGTGTTATTCTACACTGGAGGTGGTGAAGCATAAGCCTCTCTTCAGAGTTCTGGTACCTGGTACTCTTGTTTACTGAGGTGGGCTTTTCCTAGTGTATGGGTTGTCTCATCTTTTCTACTCCTGTCTGTTCTTTTCCAATACTGGTTGACATTGTAATTTGGTCACACACTTGTTTCCCTTCCCCTTCTTCTTGGTTAGATCAATTGTCCCTTCATGGGTTTCACGTTGCTTTTCTTTCATATGGTCAGTGTACTGCTAAAATAACGCATATAAAAGAAGCCTTAGTCTCAACATTGCATGGAATGCAACAGACACCTTGACCGTTCAGAGAAAAAAATGTTTGAATTGTTTGCAAACATGAGAGAGGATACAAGTAAAGAAAAAGATGTTGGCATGTGATGAAGGTTCCCCGTTCAATGTCTAATGAAGGAGAAGGGCAAGCTGATGGAGAAAAGCCTGATTAGACTTAAAAATACATGATTCCAACTGCACAGAATGAGGAATTACTTTATGCCATTTAGGGCTTGTTCATACCAAATGCAGACCAGATCTCCATGAGTTTCTGCACATGCAGTGCAGTGTTTTGATGCATTTTTTTTTTTAGCCTACAATGGGCTTTCTGTGCATTCCAGGGCGTTTGCATGCGTCCCAGCGCAGGAAAAATAGGGCTTGCTGCATTTTTGTCTTTACATGCTCTGGAACTGAATGCTGCGGTGTGAACTAGAGCCCAAAATACCATTGGAATACACTGGATGCAGTTTTGATCCGTTCTGGAACTGCTCTGCATCTGCTCTGTGCTTGGTGTGAACTAGCCCTAAATCTACTGAACACACTGAAGAAGGTGTTATCCCTTCAGTATATGTATAAGGGCCTCTAAGTGCAATAGGATAAGGCATTCCCTTTGCAAAAAAAAGCTTTTGAGGTGACTCAAAAGGAATGGTTAGAGCTAGAGAAGAAATATTTGTTTCCATAGAACAATTGATTTGTCTTTCTTTTGATGGGGTTCCTGGAAGATTTTTTTCTGGCCAAGATGCCCAAGAAAGATTATCTCCTCTTTGACATGGGTGTCACTCTTGACTGGATGTACAGAATGCGGAGGACACCCTTTGCAGCAGAGGTTTTTCATGCCTGGCAATTTCAGAGAAGGCTATTGCCATTTGCTACAGTTTCAAAAATTGGCTTTTTAACATCTGGATAAAACAATAGGGAAGCCTGTACTCGCAATGCTCACATATAATTACCAGCTTACCCTTACATGGCTGTCCCAGATGCTTTACACTCCACTGTACTCTGTGGAAACCATATCACACTTATGACTGTTTGCAGGCATTGTTTTTAGTATCCTTCTCTGTTTCTTTTGAACAGAAACTGTACCTTACGGTTCTATACTTCTGCTAGCTTTTTATTTATTATTTTACTTCTCCCACAGTCTCCACTCTCTAAAGCCTCCTGTGGCAAACCAGCACTTTAAAGTGACTCTAATCTCAGAAATTAAATCTTAAAAATGCATTCAAATACCTTAACTAATAACATAAATGTAGCTTATTTGTGCATCACTCATCTGTAGATCGTCCAAATCAGCTCTGAATTTGTGTGGATACTGTCCTTCCTTCTGGAGAGTGGCTACTTTTGTTCCCGATGATCCCTGTGTGTGTGTTCTAATGTAGCTATCACTCCAAGCTTGCTCCCATGATGGACTACAATGTCAATACGAATAAGTATACAAAATGTGAGATTTGTAGTCCATCACGGGAGCGAGCTTTGAGCGGTGGCTACTTTACAATGCCCACAGGGACTATGGGAACAAAGTAGTCACCCTCCAGAAGGAAGGACAGTGTCAGCATGAATTCAGAGATGATTTGAGGCTTTACAGCTTGGTGATGCACAAATTAGCTACATTTTTGTTAATAGTTAAGTGGGGCTACCACATGCAGTGGTAGCCCCACTGCAAGGGTTAATGTTGAATATGCCTAGAGTTCTTCTTTAACCCTTTCGCTGCCACCGACGTAAGGCATACGGCGGAAACAAAAGTGTGGGAGCAAGCGGCGGCTGGCCGCAATTCAGGATGGCGGAGACGCATAGTGATCGGAGCCACTGTCATCCTGTCAGTTTTTGGATGACAGCGGCTCTGTAGCGTGGCCGAGCGGGGGATCGTTAAATATCATTGATATTTAACGATCCCTCTGTTTACAGCAAACACCCGAGTGATCGTCTGATCACTCCGGTGTTTGTAAATAACTGGAGACACATAGTACTATGTGTCCCCAGTTATGAATGAACAGGCTGTGATTTACATCACAGCCTGTTAATTCAAGAATGTATGAATGGGGACTAGCACTCACTACAGAGGCTCCTCCCCATTCAGAAACCTAATGATAGTAAGATATTTTTACTATCATTAGTTTGTGAATGAATGAGAAGCCTCTGTACTGAGTGCTTCCCATTCATTGAGCGCTGGGGCTGCAGAAAAAGAAATTGAGGACTTATGTCCTCAATTTCTTTTTCTATTTGAAAATGTTGTTAGAACGCATCGCAGTGCATGGCATGATCTTTTTTATTTTTTTTTTCTTTAAAAAACATTAAATGAACTGTGGCAGCGCAT